ATCAGCATGGGAGAAGTGGAGAGTAAAACCCTTCCCCCAGCACCATGACTCCAACCCCCCCCCGGGAATCCAATCACAGATTCCCAGGTTTCCCACCTGTAGTTTGCCTGTCAATGAGGAGGACAGAGAGGGAAATACGCTGGTTTAAAAACAAACAAACAAACAGATTGGTTTTATACAGTCCTCAGTTCCTGATGATTTCTCCTCCTCGCGCATTCCCTTCCTCACTCCTCCCGCCTGGCTTTCAAAGTCAAAGCCATCTGTCTTCATTCTCGCTTGCAAAGTGCGCCGTTATGCAAGTGACACTAAAATGAAAGGACGTCAAGCCCTGCCTCGCAACCGGATCTCTCCATCCAGGGCGAAATAATCTACTATGCGTGGCTGTATTATTAAGCCCTTTTAAAAAACCCGAACCCTGTCATTATAACTGTACAGCAATTATCTTTCTGCACAGAACAATGACACCCATTTGTGATAACTGACCCTACAAAAGCTTTTCTGCGGCACTCTTGATTTTGCAAAAGATTCTGGCACCCCCTCCATCGCAACATTTTTAAATTTTGCTTTCCCCTGAGATTTCCAAGGCTTAATTTGTAAAAAGTTGCAAGACTGAAGGCTTCTCGGGATGTCATGCCCTTCAAATCCCAGATTACGTGGGGGTGGACTCCAGTTATTCACCACTGAGAGGAAGAGAAGGTTTCTGCTTTAATGCACTCCCTTTACAATGCTTGACATGTTCCTGTACGCAGCCATTGAGGTGAACAGGGCATCAGGCTTGGATCAAGGAGAGCGGGGCTTAATTCCCCCTCCTGGATCACTGAACCACCCTGAGCCGGTCTCCTCCTGACCTATCTCACAGAACAGGCATGGGGATGAAAAGAGAGGGGGAGGAATTTAATGTGCTATCTTAGGTTCTTTTGATAAATAAAAATGTAATATGCTAGCCTTGTGCTGATCTGGATGGCCCGGCTAGCCCAAACTCGTCAGATCCCGGAAGCTAACCAGAGTTGGCACTAGTTGGTATTTGGATGGGAGACCGCCACGGAAGTCCAGGGTCGCTATGCAGAGGCAGGCAATGGCAAACCCCCTCTGAACATCTCCTGCCTTGAAAACCCTGTGGGCAGCCCCGTAGCTAGGGAATTCTTTGGAAGGGGGCCTCGGGGGCCCCACCAGCTAATTAAATGGAAGTACAGTGCAGGTGGTAAGTTGGAGCACTTTGAGGGCAGCCCAGGAGGGAGGGGGCCCAGAAGAAACACTAGGGGGCCGGGCCCCGTGGGCCCCCATGTTAGCTAAGGGCCAGCCTGTGGGGTTGCCATAAGTTGGCTGCAACTTGATAACACTTTACACATAATATTCTATGGCAGTGGAAAGAGTCCAGTGGCCAATTTCTAGAGAAAGATGGCGGAGTTTCCTCTAATCCCAAATGGTTGTGATACTAACAAAGCAAACTTCGCACATGCCTGGGGTCTTTGTCACGAGTATGCTTGTGTTCCCGGACTGACCCCTGTCACTGGTCGTGGTCACACGGTCATTTTGATTGGTTTTCACAACTGTTCCCTATCGCATTTTAAAAGGGCTGATCAGACAGCCGATTCTGTCTCCTGTATCGAAGTGGACTCACCCCCACAGTCCTCCCAGTTTTCTAGCGCATTTTCCGACACAATGCAGCTTGTGAACAGTGAATCAGCTTTTATTTACAGTTCAGAAGAAATCAAGAACGAGACAAACATACAGAGCAACAGGCTCTCACTTAAACAGTCCGGGCTTGGGTAGCCACGCCCACAAGTCAGATATTAACCAATCACTATTTACAGATAAGGTCCAATCAGAGTGCTTCCCTCCATAACATTGTGCTGCTCTGATTGGTGGATTTACAATCCCGTCCAGAATACAAGCTCATCCAGAACTTAATACATAACACCGACACTGGGAAAATCCAGTACTTTCCTACTACTTGCGCTGTGAGCCCGCAATTTCTCCTATCTGGACAGCCATCTCTCGCTATGAATGCGATTAGGTCATCTGTATGTCCTTCTTGCAGTAGTTTCCCCCCCCCCCAGCTTTCACCATTGTGTGCATGGCCAATCCTGTGCTGAATATATTAAATGCGTGAACACTCAAGTGCACATAAAACAGTGCTTGGTTACACATTGAGCATGTGCAAAGAATTTTTTTTAAACGTATGCCATGCTGCCACTTGGGCTGTCTGGACGGTGCCTGGAGCCTTGTTGTGCAATGCAAGTGGTTAGGCAAAAGATGTGTGGTCATCTGAACCTGCTAAAAAAATATCTCCGATCAAATCTACAGTAGAAACAAATTGCGGTAAGCTTGCCTTGTGACCACACCCATTCAAACAGGGCACCCTAACTGTGGGAACCTTAGCCACTTTAGGCAAGATTTCATCCCAGATTAATGTAATTTTATCAGGTAAAACTGTTCTTATTAGATAACAAATCATTAGAATTCACAGACAGAGAAGAATATGTAGATTAAAGATATGGACTAAGATCAAAAGGCGCATTAGGGGAGATCCACTTGACCCAACAAGAGTTTGGACTTTCCAAAAATATGGGTCCCAGACTTGCATCACAGGAAAACTGCTAAACTATCCTTCTGTTTTTTTAAAAAAATAATTTACATCACATGAAGCTGCCTAATACTTAATCGGACCCTACATCCATCGAAGTCAGCATACTCTACTCAAGCCCAATCTGCATCCAGCATCTGCTCCATTGTTTTACCAAACCCACACTGGAACAGAAAAAGATGCGGCTCAAAACTACATTCAAATACACTGGGCCAACGCCATACTGACTGCAGAGTCACCCCTGAACGACCATAAAACGACCATAAATCTATTCAGACAGTTCCATAAAACCGAGAGACCAAACGAAGTGAAAGTGGCCATGCAGTCTAGACACTGCCATAAAATCCGACAATCAATCAAAGTGAAAGTGGCATGCAATGCAGGGGGGAATTTCTGTTCCAGTATGGGTTTGCTAAAACAGCGGAGCAAATGCTAGATGCAGATTGGGCCACAGACTGGCAGTGGCCCTCCAAGGTCTCAGACAGAGTTCTTTCACATCACCTACCCGTCCAAGGCAAGCAGTTTCCTCTAATCCCAGATGGCTGTGATAAGAACAGAGCACCCACACATGCCTAGGGTCTTTTAAGTGGAGATGCTGGGACTGAACTTGGGACCTTTTTGAACCTGGGACCTTCTGCATGCCAAGCAGATGTTCTACCACTGAGCCATGGAGGTACGGGAGGACTGTAAGATGCTAAAATAGCCCTGTAGCCTTCAAGTGAGCCCATGTGCATATATTACACATAGCAATCTTTGACTGTGATGCAATATCTTTCAAGAACTTCCCATGAGAGCTGGTACAGTAGTTAAAACTGTTGTTGTTCAGTCGCACAGTTGAGTCCGACTCTTCGTGACCCCATGGACCACATCACGCCAGGCCCTCCTGTCTTCCGTCATGCTCCGGAGTTTGCTCAATTTTATGCTTGTTGCCTCAATAACACTGTCTAACCATCTCATCCTTTGCCGTCCCCTTCTTCTTTGACCTTCAGTCTTTCCCAGCATCAGGGTCATCTCCAGTGAGGGCTCCCTTCTAATTTGGTAGCCAAAATATTTGAGCTTTAGCTTCAGTATCTGGCCTTCCAGGGAACAGTCAGGGTTGATTTCTTTTAGGATTGACTGATTTGATCTTCTTGCAGTCCAGGGGGCTCTCAAGAGTCTTCTCCAGCACCATAATTCAAAAGAATCTATTACTTGGCCTTCCTTGGTCCCTGCCACACGGCAGGGAAAACACCGGCCAAAGTGCGGCTAATTAAAGCCGTACCAAAATAGAGACGCCACGGCGGGATCCCACGGATCCCCTGAGCCGCAGCGCCATTGCTCCCCGGCACGATCAGACGCCAGGGAGGAAGACATGGTCGGGAGGGGGAGGCTGTCGAACTGCGCATGTGTGAACCTCCTTATCTCTCCTTGCTGTTCTCTGGAAATCTGCATTCAGCTGGGTAAATCTTTCCTTTTCACCTTTGCCTAGTGGTTTTCCCAACTTTCTTCAGTTGAAGTCTGAATTTTGTGATGAGTAGCTCATGATCTGAGCTACAGTCAGCTCCAGGTCTTGTTTTTACTGACTGGATAGAGCTTCTCCATCTTTGCCTGCAAATTATATAATCAATCTGATTTCAGTATTGCCCATCTGGTGATATCCATGTGTAGAGTCGCTTTTTAGGTTGTTGGAAGAGGGTGTTCATTATGACCAGCGTGTTCTCTTGACAAAACTCTGTTAGCCTTTGCCCTGCTTCATTTTGTTCTCCGAGGCCAAACTTGTCTGTTATTCCGGTTACCTTTTGACTAGGACTGTGGAGATCAGGGTTAGATTTCTATTCTGGGAGGGAATCACCAAAAAGTAGGCCAGGATTAAGCTAACATTAAGCCAGGATTGTCTGCATTCAGACATAACACAAACCCATAGTTAACTGTGCATAACCCAGACCCTGGTTCAAGGGACCCTATCCAACCATAGTCAGTGGAGTGACCTGCACTCAGACAATCACAAGAACCAGAGATTGGATTTATACCCTGCCCTTCACTCGAAGTCTCAGAGCAGCTTACAAACTCCTTTCCCTTCCCCTCCCCACAGCAGACACCCTGTGAGGGAGGTGGGGCTGAGAGAGCTCTGACAGAAACTACTCTTTTCAAGAACACCTCTGACAGAACTATGGCTTTCCCAAGGTCATCCAGCAGCTGCAAGTGGAGGAGTGGGGAATCAAACCTGTTTTCCCCCCAGATTAGAGTCTGCTCACTTAACCACCACACCAAACTGGAGTAACCACAGAACTTCTCCTTGCCAACTCTCATGTTTATTCATAGACACTAAAGAAAAAGTATTCCAAACTAAGGCACAAGTTCACGGCCCCCATGGTTTTAAAAACTAACTAAAACTAATGAAGGGGGAGAAACGTCGAAATATCCACACACTTACTTTGAACATTTCATCGGGGATGCATTTTATTGCCGCCGGCTGGAAGTAAGGCATCAATTCTTTATCAAGAGCTTTTAATTCTCCCTCATTTAAACCAGCTAAAGAGAGAAAAGATCAGAGCAGAGATTCATTCACACTGTCTCGATTTAGACTCTATGTGGGGCTAATGTGCATTTTAGAGCCTCCTTACGCGTCCCCTGATCAATATTTGACTCTAAAGCATTTTCAGACACCGCTGGGAAATCAGGCCTCTAAGAATATAAAGAGATTTATTTATTTATTTGCAATGGAGTGCATGCTTCATGTAAGAGCATAGCCTTGTAAAAGCACACTTGATTAAGCTAATTTTCTTTTCAGAAACTTGGCATCTGTTTTAAAGGCACAGGAACAATTTCTCCTTGTTTTCTGTGACCATCTACCAATATATTTGTTTGCCAAGTAGTCTCTCTTGACCCTCTTTTACCCAAACATCTAGGCTACATGTGAAATAACACAGAGGCAGATATTTTATGGACTGACATTGGGCAAAGTTAGAGCATGCTTAAGTCCTTTGATTTTTATACATTCAAGAAAACTGTCACTGACAGCACAACAACAAAATTGGGATGGTCAGAGGGCTAAAATCTGGAACAAAAATAATCCTTGTAAAGCCTAACCAGAACAAATCCAGAATAAAAAAAGTGTGCAAAGCATATGACCTGATAGCCCCAAGTTATACTTGGTTAATATTGTGGATATCAAGGCAAAATATGCCCTCTCAAAGTCTGAGATCTTTTAACAGAGATCAAATTATAGTCAGATACTAAACAGCACAGAATTTCACCTTTTAGGGCTTTAACTACATGTTGCATAGTTTACCGATCCACCTCACACCCTCCTAGGCTCCTATTCTAACAGATCTGAGCTGGGAGTACTATGTTGATACCTAATTCCCAGGCATACAGAGACCCAGTATGCTGGGCAAACAGCAGATTCCTGGAGATATAAGAATGTAAGAAGAGCCCTGTTGGATCAGACCAGTAGCCCATCTAGTCCAGCATCCTGTCTCACACAGTGGCCAACAAGTTCCTCTGCATGGCCAAAAACAGGGCATAGAGGCCAAGGCCTTCCCTGGATTTTGCCTCCTGGCTCTGGGAGGTTCCCTTTAGGCACCATGACTAGTAGCCACTTATAGATTTATCTTCCATGAATCTGTCTAATCTAGGGGTGTGCAAAAAAAAAAAAAAAATTCGGCCAGATTCGGATTCGGCCAAATTGGGCAGAATCAATTTCAGCTGGCATAAAGATTCCTGCATGTCAATTTCAGCAGTACCAGCAGATTCAGGAGTCTTTCGGCCAGGCCAATGTCAGTTTCAGCCCCATTATATTCTATGGGTCATTGAAGGTCAATGGTGAAAACATAGGGTATATTCTGGGGGTTGGAGGGGAGGGGGTTTGATGGAGAGGCTCCAAACTCACAGGGTAGCTGCTGGAGCCTCTCCCCAAGATACCAACCAAGTTTCAAGAACATTGGACCAGGAGGTCCAATTCTACAGGCCCTCAAACAGGTTGCCCCTATCCCCTCCATTGTTCTCTATGGTGGGAAAAAAGTTACGGGCCCTCAAACAGGTTGCCCCTATCCCCTCCATTGTTCTCTATGGTGGGAAGAGAACAATGGAGGGGATAGGGGCAATCTGTTTGGGAGCCCGTAGAATTGGACCCCCTTGTCCAATGTTCTTGAAACTCGGTTGGTATCTTGGGGAGAGGCTCCAGCAGCTACCCTGTGAGTTTGGAGCCTCTCCATCAAACCCCCTCCCCTCCAACCCCCAGAATATACCCTACATTTTCGCCATTGACTTCAATGGCCCATAGGATATAATGGGGCCAAATTGCCGCTGAAATTCGGCGGAAAGCCTATTCAGATCAGAGAATCTGAATCGGCCTGCAGCAGCCTGAAAGGGGTCCGAATGGGCCATTTTCGGGGGTGTATTCGGTTCACATGAACCGAATGCACATCCCTAGTCTAATCCCCTTTTAAAGCTGTCGGTGCCTGTGGCCATCACTACATTTCAGGTTGGTAAAAGGTGTGGAGGGGAGGCTTAAGACTCTGGCTAGGAATTATGTTTCAGCTTAGAGCTCCCAGTGCACATCTGGTTGGCCGTGACTTGTTGTACTTGGATTTCCTGATTCAGACATACATGACTGAAGGCAAAAGATCATTGCTAGAAGTATCACCTGCAATGGTACCAATCTCTTGTAAGACAGCTCTGTTCCACCTGGCAGCGTCTCCAAATACGGACTCAGCCTTCTTTTTGAATTCCTTCAGAACACTCATGCTGCATGGGAAAGAGCCAATCCTGGCCACAACCGCACTGTAGAAAGGGCAACACGGCAGAATATCATGGCCTGTAAATTTACAGAGTCTGAAAAATCTGAGATCACTAGCTTCTTGTTCTCTCAGCCTAAGGGCTGCCCTGTGTCAGGATCTGGCCCTGAGACTTGGGTTTTAGGCCTCAATCCTAGGGCTGCCCCCAAGGGACCATCTGAACCCTCAGAACTGCTGGCCAAGTGGGGTTTGGAGATCTCCCACTATTACAGCTGATCTCTGGATGACAGAGATCAGTTCCCCTGGAGAAAAGGGCTGCTTTGAAGCGTGGACTCCAGAGCACTGTACCTTGCTGAGGTCCCTCCCCTCCCTCAACCCCATCCACCCCAGGCTCCACGCACAAAATCTCCAGGTATTTCCCCACCCCAAATGGCTACCCCACACATGATGACTGCTCTTATAACTTCAAAACATGCTGGATTGTGGCAGCGGCATTTCAGTTGGAGCTGGGAGGCAACCATATGGCACAAACCACTCAGCTGGGGGTTGCTATTTTATGTTTGCCTTTAACTGAACATGTTTCTAACTATTATTGTTAAGCCACCTTGAAAGGCAGAATATAGATGCTTAAATAAATAGATTACATTTTATGTTTGATGCATGGCCAACTGACATTTTAAAAAATGTCTACGTGTGGCGAGTAGTTCATTTCTTCAGATCCACCTGATTGTAACTCAATCTTGCTCAATGCGCCCTTTCTAAAAAAAATTGGAGTGTCACTGGGGGAATAAAATTGAGTCCTTCTTCCAAGAAACGTGTCTAAGATCAATGTGTCACAGATATGGATCCAGGCTCAACGACAGAGGAAGCGTGTAGAGCTCGCTCCTCTGTTCCTCCAACTTTCTAAGGTTATTTCTATCACCTCGAGTCACTCCAGAAGAGAGAGGTTTGGCAGGGGACTTTCTAGTCTAAAGTCCTCAGGGGGTGGCGACCCCCCCGGGCTTGGACAGCTGTCCCAAAGCAAGAAAGTTCTACAGGAGCCCTGATGAGACTGCAGAGTCACACCGAGCACAAGGGAAGCCTTGCTGAATCTACTAGAGTCGGAAGAACAATACCCTATAAGCAACGGAAAGAGCACAAGCTAAGTACCTTAAAATAATAGCAAAAACTCACCAAAAGTAGGTTCCGGGGGGAGGGGGGTGGAATACGCCGGAGAAAGACTTGTCCCAATTTGATATTTAAGTTTGACCGTAAGATTCAGAAGCGACTAGGGAAAGGAACAAACCCAATAAGGAGATAAAGGATTTGAAGGGGCAGAGGGAGAGTTTGAAGCAGACTTAGATGCTGAAACTGCAAAAAGGTTTTTATCTTTTTTCCATCTTCTTTCGTTTGTTTAGGAGCATATTCCTTTAACTGGAGCAGTGGTGACGGGGCGTTTTGAGAGTGATATTAGAGGCGCGGAGAAGTGACGAGGCAGCAACGGGCGTCCAGAGGAGAAGGGAGGGGGCCGGAGGAGCAGTCGGAGATAGCAGCGAACGAAAGCAGTGATGATGACAGCGTGGGCTGCGTGAGCTGGAGAGACTGGACCAAGGCGACTGGGACGGCGTTTGAGCTGCCAAAAGGAGGAAGCAAGGAGAATCGCAGGAAAAGGAGCTAAAAAATCTTAAAGAAATTTAAAAGAGGGAAGATTTTGTAGAAAGAAGAGGGGGGAAATGTTAGCTATAGCCAGCAAAGATTTAAAAGATTCAAAATATAGAAATAGGAATTAAGAAGTAGAGACTTGGTGCTCCAAAATAAGAACATTAGAAATATTTTTGATTAAACAATTACATGCAATTATAATTAATATAAGTGAAAGAAAGAAAAAGAGAATATAAGTGTAAACCATCTTGAATAGAAAGAACACTAGATAATAGATAATTAATTGGGAGCCCAATTCTATTGCCTCAGGATCCGGTGCTAGCAGAAAGGTGTCATTATCCTCACCAGGACAGTTGTGAGGGGTAAGCCAACTTCAGTTTAGCAACATGAATATAACCCAGATGACCATGAAAGACTTAAATAAAATGATCCAGGAAAGTGTATCTCAAGCAGTAGCCCAAGCAGTAAAAAACAGTTAAAAACACCTTGCCTACCCTATTTAAGAAGGAAATAGATCCCATAAGTGCAAAGATGGATGAAATAACAACCCAAATTAAAACTGAAACAGAAGAAATTAAGAAACAGATATTAGATAATAAACAGGAAATTTTAAGAATGTCTTCTAACCATGAAAAAAGGGAAAATGACAAGATCTAGATTTTGAGGTTCAAGAATTAAAGAGCAAAAATGAAAAAAAATTGAGGAAACTCTTATTAATCTAGAAATGGACAAAGCTGCATTAATTATAAGATGTCAAAATATACTGGAAAATATAGAAAAAAATCTTAAGGAGGAACTGACTCAAAGTTTAGCAGAGCAGCTAAAAATAGGTACGAAAGATGAAATAGCGAATGAAATTGAGACATTGTACAGGAGAAATTCTGCTTATGCGAAGAAACACAAAAAGCCTAGGGAAGTGCATATAAAATTTTATAAGAAGGAAATGAAAGAAAAAATACTTAAAGTCTCATATGAAAATAGGGTGACCATCCAGGGTGAAGAAGTTATTTTTTTGAAAGAAGTTCCATGGAGAGTAAGAGAGAGAAGGGCACCTTATTTAACATTGACAAACCTTTTAACAAGTAATGGAATTATGCTTAGATGGTTGATTCCAGAAGGAGTGCTCTTTAATCATGATAGCAAGAGACACAGAATTGACTCGATATTTAAAGTTGAACATTTTCTTGAAAAATATGGTGAAGAATTAGAATTACAAAAAGAGGATGCAGATGAGGAAGAGGAAGAGGAAGAAGAGGATACAGATGAGGAAGTTATAGAACAAGAAACAGATAAAAGAAAAGGCGCTTCACCTAAGAAAGGAAAGAACAAACCAAGTAAAGCAACTTATCAGATTCTAACTAGGTTCAAGTACAGAAGTAGAGGAAAGAACAACAAAAAGTAAATATGATATCGCCCAAAAAACTTAAACTCATATCCATAAACATAAATGGGCTGAATAGCCCCCCAAAAAGAAGGAAGACATTCCATCAATTATACAAAATCAAGGCAAATATTGTTTGTCTACAAGAGACTCACATAAAGAAGAAGGATGTTAAATATTTGTCATGAAATAAATTAGGCACCGCTTTTATAACTTCAGCTGAAGAGAAAAAATGAGGTGTGGTGATTTATGTAAAAGATTCTTTAAATCCAAAATTGTTATATGCATCAGATGATGGAAGGATTGTGGCAATTGTAGTTACAAGAAATGGTAAAGAAACATTAATAGTTAATATATATGCCCCTAATCAAAGTCAAGAAAATTTTTTCAAGGAATTGCAAATAGTAATAAATCTAAAGGAGGTCTTTTGGGTGACTATAATGCAGTTCTCGATCCAGTACTGGATAGGAAGAGTCATAGGAAAAACAATAAAGTAGGCAATGTAATACCAAAAAGCTTCCTGCAAGTAGCTGAAGAATATAACTTAATTGATGGAGAACTAGAAACCTGAAAAAACTGGACTATACGTACTATTCACCAAGACACAACTCTTGGTCACGGATTGACATGGTTTGGATATCCTCCAAGATGATACGTGATTTGTTAGATTGCGAAATATTGCCAAATACCTTTGCTGGCCATAATCCCCTTCTACTTACCTTAAAAGAAGAACAAAAGAAAAGCAGATGACCAGGAATTTGTTTAAAAGACTAAGGAAGAAATTATGGATTTCTTTTAAAGAAATATCCAACTGGAGACAAAGATTGAAGTAGCACGGGATGCATTTAAAGCTTTTATGAGAGGTTGGTTCATTAATCAGAACGCATGGAAGAAGAAGCAAGCTAAGAAAAAATATGAGTTGTTAGTGGGACAAATTAAGCTAGAAGAAGATAAAATGAAAAATACCACGGAAGTTAAAGAATCTAAAATTAAACTATATTTTCTTCATCATAAAATGAACTTACTCTTGAATTATGAAATAGCAAAGAAAATTGAATATACTAAACATATATTACTTTGAAAATCTAAATAAACCCAATAGATGGTTATCCTATAAACTTAGGAAAGCAAGAGAAAAACGCTTTATCATTAAACTACGAACTTAGAGGAATGAAGAGAAATATAGACCACAAGAACTTAAAAATATAGTGGAAAAATATTATAAAGAATTATATCAGCAAGACTTTCAGAATGAACTTCAAATTAAAGATTATCTAGAAAAAGGGAATTATAATAAATTTAATGACCAACACAAGAAGATTTTAAATGAACCGATTACAATGTGTGAGATTGTAGAAGCTATTAAGAAGCAAAAGAGGAAAAAAACTCCTGGTCCTGACGGCTTACCAGTAGAATTTTATCAAATTTTTGAAGAACAGATTGGCATGCCATTAAAAGAATTGCTACAGAAGATAGGCAAAGCAGAAATAGTACCCGAGTCTTGGAATCACACACTAATTACGTTAATACACAAACCCAACTCTGACGGAAGTGAAATCAAAAACTATAGGCCTATTTCATTATTAAATGCCGATTATAAAATATTTGCTAGCATTTTGGTTTATAGATAGAAAACGGTGCTGTCTCAAATTATTCATCAAGATCAGATTTACGAACAGTCATTGATGTATTAGAATATTTGACAAAGAGAAAGCCTTTGATAATCTATCGTGGAATTTTTTGTTGCAAAAATTAGATAGATCAGACTGTGGCCAATTCTTTTTAACTATGATTACAGCAATCTATAAAATGCAATATGCTAAAATTTTGATAAATGGGGATACAACTAATAATATAGAAATTCAGAAAGTTTCGAGACAGGGTTGCCCGCTATCGCCATTACTGTTTATTTTTGTATTAGAATCTTTGAACAACTCAATACGAGGAAACGTGCAGATAAATAAGAGGAGAAGAGTTCAAATTATTGGCGTTCGCGGATGATCTCCTATTTATCTTAGAAAACCCTAAAACATCTCTTATTTCTCTGATGGACACTATTAAAAATCATGGTCAAGTAGCAGAACTCAAAATAAATTATAAGAAAACGAAGCTTCTATCAAAAAATTGTTTACCGGATACTTTACAGGAGATACTAAAAGTAACGTCGATGGAATTAGTGAACAAAGTTAAATACCTTGGTATAAATTTAACTAATAAACGCAGTTATAGAGGATAATTACCATAAGCTGCTAGCAGAAATTAAAAGTGATCTCCTAAGGTGGAAAGACATACCTTTATCTATCATGGGCAAAATAGCTGTGATAAAAATGAATATATTGCCAAGATTCTTATTTTTAGCCCAAAATATTCCCATTCTAAAAAAGCAGAATTTTTTTGAAGATCTGAATAAAATCACGAAACAATTTATATGGCACCCCAAAAGAGCAAGAATAAAGTGGAAAATATTACAAGATAGAAAGGAGAGGGAATGAATGTATCTAATTGGTATCTGTACTACCAAGCAGATGCTCTAGTGTGGATAAAAGAATGGCTTACGTTGGAAAATACCAGGATTTTAGCATTGGAAGGTCACGATTTGTACATGGGTTGGCACGCATATATATGGTACGGAAAAGAGAAAATTCATTCTAATTTCAAGAACCACTTGTTAAGAGGAGCTCTAAATAAAATTTGGTGTAACATAAAAGAGAGATTTTATAGGAAAACCCCTAGGCGGGTTTCTCCTCTTGAGGCATTTATAAAACCTTCATTTATATCAATGAGTAAAAAAGAAAGTTACAAAGTTTTACTAGACAAAAATAACAAATTAAAATCAGAAGAGAAATTACTACGTGAAAATAACTTATCCTGGTGGGAACATACAATGCTTCGAGATAGATATAATAAAGATATGGTAAGGGGTTTTGAGAACCAGAATAATGAACTCGATAAGATCTGGTTGTCTTCAAGTGACAAATTAATTCAGAAACTTTATGGTTTCTTACTGGATGATTATGAATATGACGAAACTATTAAGGCTACAATGATCTCTTGGATGAAAGATTTGGGTAAAAATATAGAGATAGAGCAATGGTCTAAAATATGGAAATCTGCGAAGTACATGAGAGCTATATCATATAAGGAAAATATATATAAAATGTTCCACAGGTGGTACTGGTCTCCGGATAAAATAGCTAAATGTTATACTAATACATCCAACCTGTGTTGGAAATGTAAAACCAGTGTTGGGACCTTTTTACCACATGTGGTGGAAATGTAGTAAGATACAAAACTACTGGAAAATGGTACGCAAAATAATTCAGGAAATTTTGGGTATGAATTTGGCTTTAATACCTGAAATATATTTGTTAAATATGATTCCCAATGGCTACAATACACAAGAGGTGTATTTAATGGCGTATATAATAACTGCAGCACATTTATTACTGGCAAAGAATTGGAAATTAGATAAATTACCCTCTAAAGAGGACTTAATGGGAAAATTGTTAGATCTTGTGCAGATGGATGATTTGAGTTTAATACTTCACGATAAGAATAACAATGTACAGAATAAAAGATGGTCTAGGGTATATAATTGGATAAAACAAGTTATGGAATGATCGACTCTAAACTTTTATGTAATCTGTTAAAATGGAATGTATTCTTTTTGAAAAACTGGAAAATAAAAGTATATATATAAAAAAAGATCAATGTGTCACTGCTGGGGGGAGGAGCTACAATGCACACAGAAATAACTGATGAGAAATGTACCGCACATTTAATGCCATTTGAACTAGACTTTAAAAAGGCCTTAGTGAATGGGAAAGTGTGCTGTCGTCAGAGGTCATTTCGGGGGGGGGAACGCGGGGGAACGCAGTTCCCCCGGGTGTGGTGCAGGGGGGCGGGGCACATGACAAAGCCCCGCCCCCTGCTTCCGCCCGCCCCGCTTCCAGCCCTCATTCAGCCAGGAGGAGGCAGGGGAAGAGGGAGGGTAAGTTGCTTCCTCCCCGCCTCTCCCCACCCCTGCCTGCCTGGGGCCAGGGAGGGCCTTGGCAGGGCTTCCTCGCACTCCCGCTGGCCTTGCAGGTCCACCGCTGGGCCCCTGATGTCAGGGGGTGTGGTATATGCTAATGAGTTATGCTAATGAGTTCCCCTAGCTCTTTTTCTACGAAATGACCCCTAACTGTCATACCCAAATTCCACTGGTTTGATGGCTGCAATCTCTGTGGAGTTCAAAGTACAAAGAGTGGCACCTAAACCAGCCAACTCAAAGCTTTTCAGAGTGTCCATCGCTTGCCCCGAGTCGTCCAGAAAACCCTGTAAAATGGATTTTGCCTGGGGAGAGAAAAACAACAACAGTGAGACTGGATTTATCCCCAATGGAGGTTCACTACCAGTGAGCATGGAAAAGGCACTTCTGTTTCCAATTCTGTCAGCTGAGGCAACCCCCATGCAGCTGGAGGGTAACACACAGAAGCGCTAAAGCTTCACCCACACGAAGGCAAGTGGTCCAATTAGATCGCTGAAGCTAAGCGGGAAGATGGGAGATCAGCAGAGGTTTCCACGTTTACTGTTCTGAGGGAAACCAGATGAGAAACTGGGAGTTTCACGTCCAGAATGGCCAGTGTTAGTTTGTTTTTTAAACCAATCCCAACACCATCAATGAGGAAGAATAATTGTGATAATGTGTATCCTCCCCTTTTTTTCTTGGATCTGTTTTCCTCCACCTTGGGGGGGAAATGGCCAAGAGAGCAAACCCCTTTTGATTTTATCCAAGGTACAACCCTGCCATTTCCTGTAGCCACAAGAAGAAGAAGAAGAAGAAGAAGAAGAAGAAGAAGAAGAAGAAGAAGAAGAAGAAGAAGAAGAAGAAGAAGAAGAAGAAGAAGAAGAAGAAGAAGAAGAAGAAGAGGAGGAGGAGGGGGAGGGGAGGGGGAGGAGATTGGATCTATACCCCGCCCTTCACTCGGAGTCTCAAAATGGCTTACAAACTCCTTTCCCTCCCGCTCCCCACAACAGACACCCTGTGAGGTAGGTGGGGATGAGAGAGCTCTGACAGAAACTGTTCTCTTTCAAGAACACCTCTGACAGAACTATGGCTTGCCCAAGGTCATCCAGCAGCTGCAAGTGGAGGAGTGGGGAATCAAACCTGGTTCTCCTAGATTAGAGTCCACGCACTTAACCACGACACCAAACTGGTTCTTAACCACTACACCACACCACTACACCAAACTGAAGGTGATTAGGGTGCAGTTAATATTACACTAGCAGCCTGAATAGCCCCATTTGGCCTGAGCTTGTCAGGGCTTGGAAGCCAAGCGGGGTTGGCCACAGTCAGTACTTGGATGGGAAACCACCAAGGAAGATGGGGGTTGCTACGAGGAGGCAGGCAATGGCAAACCACCCTGCCTTGCATGCCCCATGGCTGCGGTCACCATGAGTCAGTTGCAACTCAATGGGACACTCCTCTTTTTCTAATGTAACATAACCGTAAACACCACAAACGATAGTACCACCATCCTAGTGTTAATTAATGTTCTACATAGGGTATTTTGATACCGCTGATGTTATTGTGCTGTGTACATCTGACATACTTTGATGGCCTGTATTGCCCGGCCTGGATGGCCCAGGTTAGCCCAATATCACCAGAACTCGGAAGCTATGCAAGGTTGGCCTTGGTAAGTGCTCGAATGGGAGACCATCAAGGAAGTCCCAAGTTGCTACACGGAGGTCCCTGCCACATGGCAGGGAATAAGACGCTTGTACTGCGGCTAATGTGAACCGCAGAAAGTTGGGACGGCGCAGCGGGATCTCACAGATCCCCCGAGCCGCGTCGCAACGCTCCCCGGCACGATCAGATGCCGGGGAGAACGCGACGGTGGGAAGGGGAGCCTGGCGAACTGCGCATGCTCACACATGCGCAGTTCGGCCAGGAGCCGGGGATGCGCCGGCGCAAGGACGCGCCGGCGATCCCACGGCCAGCGTTGCTGCGGCCCTTCAGAAAGAACCACCTCGGGAGGTGGTTCTTTTTTGGTGCGGAGCAACGCTGGAGGGGACGGATCCGGGACGGATCCGGCACACTCCCCAGATGTTGAGGTGGGATCGCGCCGGTTTGCTCCGCCCCCGTTCCGTCCCGCTCCCGGCCCAAATGGGCTCGTATGAACAGGGCCGGAGATGGGCAATGGCAAGCCACCTCTGATCATCTCCTCCCTCGAAAACCCTAGGGGGTTGCCATATGTCAGCTGCGACTTGGCGGCACTTTCCGCCACCCTGTGGATATCCACAGCTGTGCCAAGAGCAAAGAAATGTTTGAGGGTTTAGAGGAAGGGGATTTAGCAGTTGTCGGTCTGACAGGGGGCAGCTTATTTATGCAAAATCTGGCAACCCAGAAGCAGCTTTTTGGGCTGAATCACGGACTCACCGGACAGACACACTGACCTGCAGAGGGTTCCACTCCGTTTGCTGACTAAGTGCAGCAACCGTATCGACAGAACTCAAATTCAGCTCTCTGATTTCAGTCTCGTTGAGCGCCGTGGCGATTCGCCCGAGGGAGACGAGGTGATAAGTGCTCCAGCTGGGCAACAGCCCCCAGGCCTTTGAAACAAAAGTCTGCTGTTAGTTCACAGAACACCAAAACTCAGCGATCCAGAAATGATCATGTGGCGGAGGGAAGTGCTGTTGAGCCACAGCCGATTCATGGTGACCCTGTAGGGTTCATTAGGGATGTCACCCTCCAGGCGGTGCCTGGGGATCCCCCGGAATCACAGCTCATCTCCGGTTCAGTTCCCATGGAGAAAATGGATGCTTTGGAGGGTGGGCTCTATGGCACTGGGCCCCACTGAGGTCCCTGTCCTCCCCAGGCTCCACCCCCAAATCTCCATGATCTGGCAACCCTACTCCCCATCTCCCACCAGTGACCATGGGGGACCTCACAAGAAGAAGAAGAGGAAGAAGGCTTCCGGTCTGGCTAAGATGGAGGACTGAAGCGTTTCGCGATCGTGCGAAGCGAGCGACGGCCACTTTTGACAGTTTGGGCAATACACAGCCCAACGCATCACTCCCCAGCGAGGGGGGGGACAAGCAGGCAGCAGCGCCCTAGAGGGAGTGTGAGGTTGGCGTAATCCAGCTTCGGAAGAAGCTGAATTGGGCTTTGACCTCCTCCCACGAAGAAGGCAAGTGCCAAGCAACTCTATAGTGGCCGATCGAGCCGGATTACCGGCATAAATTCTTCGTCAGCCGACCTCTTTGAAGAAGGACAACAACTGTGAGTTAAAAGAAACAATGCGAAACCCGTTTTGAACGTGCTAGATAACAAAAACGTGCCGCTTACCTGAACTGAGTTTGGAGTCAATTTGAATTAAGCGGTTGAGCGGAAAATGAATAGTAAATCCCAGAAATCCGATTCCGGAGAGAAAAAAGTTGATTGAAGCCTTTAAAAACTGTAAAAACGCTTATTGTTTAACATTCCTGTGGTGAAGATGGAGCCGTGTGCGCAACTGTAAAATCGAAACTCACGAACAATAGCGTGGGAAGAGCAGGCTGGTGTCACAAAGAAAGAGGTCCGTGTGAAACATCCAGGAAGTTGAATTCCTAGACGGGCATTAGCGAAAGGAAGACAGTGGAACTTTTAAAGGTGCCGGACCGGAAGTGAGTTTTATGCGGAAGGAAGGGCCTGCAAAATACCAATCTGACCTACTCTACATGAAATTACCATAGAGAAGTTGCGCCCGACATTTTGAGGAGGACTTCAACTAAATTTGCTTTTTTAATATATTTCTAAGGGTCTTTGGAAAGCGTAAACAGAGAGGCATGGAGGACTAAATCTTATCATCTAGAAGAGTGCTTTATTTTGCGAATCTGTGAATTGGAAAGAAATCGCCAAGACGGAGACCAGGAGAGGCAAGAAAAGAGCCGACTCAGACCCAGAACTTAAACCGGTTGTGAGACCTAGGATTGGATCTACTTCAACCCCCAAAATGTCAAGAATCAGCCCTTACATTTGAGAACATCTGCATAGCGACTGAGGCAAACCCAAGATTTATACTATGGTTCATGTGTGTCCAGAGCAACAGAGATGGTGCCAAAAGTGCCCCCAAAATGTTACCATTATTCATAAAGATTATTTCCTGGTTTAGTCTCTTGTGAAGTGAACATGGCTGGAGATGTGTGTCACATACACATTTTACAGGAAACTAATTCCATACATAATTCCCTTTTTCTTGCGTCATTGTGCCTTTTTCCTACAAAAGGACTAGTTGTCACAAATAGAAGAGAAACAAGATTCTTTGACTCAACAAATTACAAGATCAGAGACAATGATGGAGTTCAGAAGGATGCAGACTCATCTGAGATTCAGAGGCATTAAGGAAACAGAGAATGAGAACTTAAAAGAAAAAATGATGGAAGTGATAACGGCTTTTCTGGGCGAGGAGGAAGGGTCAATGGACTCAGACTTTGATTTGATTTATAGAGTGAACTCCAGAATTGCAGAAAAGAAGAATTTACCAAGGGATGTAATTGTACAATTTGTAACAAGATCAATAACAGAGGAGATATTCAAGAAGCAATTCAACGTCCCTTTTGTAATAGAGGGAAACAAAATTATGGTGATGAGAGAACTCCCAAGAACAATACTGCAAGACAGGAAAAGGTATAAATCCTTGGCGGACAAACTCAGAGCTTTGAGCATCAGATATAGATGGGAGATTCCACAAGGTTTATCCTTTACGTATCAAGGTGGGAGGATTCAGATCAGATCGATGATGGACTTTTATAAATTTAAGGCGGACAATGCGGACGTCTTTGGAGAACTTTAAAATAAAACGCATAATGGAGTACAAATTGTTGTCATGGAATGTTAATGGATTAAATTCACCAAACAAGAGGAAAAGAATCAATCATTGGATACAGAAACAGAAATGCAACGTGATATGCTTGCAAGAAACACATATTAGAAAACAGGATATAAAATATTTAAAGAATGCTTTATTTGGAATTGAATTTTGTTCTGCGGCCTCAAACAAGAAAAAAGGAGTTGTGACATATGTGAAGAAGGAGTTACAACCTACAGAAATTTTTAAGGACATAGATGGCAGATACGTGGGTGTGGAATTAATGATTCAGCAGAAAAAAACATTGTTGATCAACGTGTACGCACCCAATGGAGCAAAGGAAAAATTTTTTAAGGATATAACTGACCAATTACAACAATTGACTTATGAGCAAGTTATTATGGCCGGAGACTTTAATGGGACAATAGATCGTCTAGACAGAAAACCACAAAAGGACAACGAATTCAGCGGAAAATTGCCAAAGAATTTTTTTGAATTAGTTAAGCAAGAAAAATTAGAAGATGTTTGGAGGAAATGGAACCCGATGCAGAAAGACTTTACTTTTTATTCCAATAGACATTGCTCTTTTTCCAGAATTGATATGATTTGGATGTCTGAAGAATTATCAATGAAAACACATAAGACTGAAATTTTGCCAAGATGTAATTCAGATCACAATCCGGTGGTATGGAGTTCCACAGAAAGGAAAAAACCCTTTCTGTGGAGGATTAATGAAGACTTGTTGGATAAGAAAACGGTAATTGAGATGTTAAAGGAAGAAACGAAACAATTCTTTCAACAAAATTTAAATAAAGAAACACCGATACAGATTGTATGGGATGCTTATAAAGCGGTGATGAGAGGAATTCTCATCTCGCAAAACGTGAAGCAAAAAAAGGAAAAACTTCAAAAACAAACAGAAGTGTTAGAAAAAATTGCTCAGAAAGAAAAGGAATTAAAAAAGAAGCCTGGAAAAAAGCAAATTATTAAAGAATTAAAGTTGCTGAAGGAACAACTGAATGAGACTTGGAATCAGGAAATGTATTGGAATTTAAAGAAGTTACAACAGAAATCTTTTGAAGGGGCGAACAAACCGGGAAAATACTTAGCTTGGCAACTTAAGGCTAGAAGAGAGAGAAGAATGATAACCAAAATAATAGAAGATGGAAAAGAGTTCGTTGATCCTAATGGAATAAAGAGATGTTTCTTCAAGTATTATGCTAAACTATTCCAAACAACTAGAGTTGATCTTGAGAAGATTAAAACATATTTAAAGGAGATTCCACTACCAAAAATAAGTAAGGAATACAAAGATTTATTAAATGGTCCAATTCAAAAAGAAGAAGTGATGAAGGCAATAGAAGAGACAAAGTTGGGGAAGGCGCCTGGGCCGGACGGATTTACAGCGAAATTCTACAAAAAGATGAAAGAAGAAATTTCCCCGGTCCTGGAAGCTTTAACCAACGAAATAAGAGAAAACAAAAAGGTGCCGGACTCATGGAAAGAAGCAATTATTTCTTTGATTCCAAAGGAAGGACAAGATTCAACAAATGTAAAGAACTACAGGCCAATATCTCTTTTGAACAACGATTATAAAATCTTTGCAAAAATTATTGCAGAAAGGGTGAAAAACTATTTACAAACGGTAATTTCTGAAGATCAAGCGGGCTTTTTACCCAAAAGGCAGATTAGAGACAATGTAAGAATAGTAATGGACGCAATTGAATATTATGAAAAGCACCCAGAAAAAGAAGTAGCTTTTCTGTTTGTTGATGCAGAAAAAGCTTTTGACAATCTTAATTGGAATTTTATGCACCAGATGATGGAAAAGATTGAAGCGGGACAACATTTTAGAAATTGTATTGAAGCTATCTATTCTGAACAAAGAGCTAAAATAAATGTGAATAAAGAACTGACAGATAACTTCAAAGTACAGAAAGGAACAAGGCAAGGTTGTCCGTTATCACCGTTATTATTTATCTGGGTATTGGAAATACTTTTACAAAAAATACAGTACGATCAAGAAATAAAGGGCTTGACACATAAAGGACACCAATACAAATATCGAGCATTTGCAGACGATGTAATGTTTATGGTGGAAAACCCAACAGAAAAATTGACATTGCTTTTTCAAAAAATAAAGGAGTTTGGAGAATTGGCCGGCTTTTACGTAAATAAGAATAAAACAAAACTTATATGTAAAAACATGATCAAACAAAAACAAGTGGAACTACAAGAACTGGTACAATGTGAAGTAGTTAAAAAAACAAAATACCTTGGAATTGAATTAACGGCAAAAAATATAGACCTATATAAGAATAATTATGAGAAATTATGGACTAAGCTGACTCAAGATTTTAAGAAATGGGATAAAATGAACTTATCACTGATGGGAAGAATATCAGTTATAAAAATGAATGTCCTACCACGTTTGATGTTCCTGTTCCAAACAATACCAATTCTGCATAAAACGGATTTGTTGGCCAAGTGGCAACAAGAGTTGTCAAAATTTGTTTGGGCAGGCAAGAAACCAAGGATCAAAATGAAAATACTTTGTGATGCCAAAGAAAGAGGAGGTCTACAAATGCCAAATCTTAGACTATATTATGAAGCGGTTTGTCTAACATGGATGGATCAATGGGTGAAGCTTGAAAATGACAGATTGTTGGGGTTGGAAGGGCATGATTGTAGATTTGGCTGGCATGCATATTTATGGTATGACAAGATAAAAATGGACAGTTTTTTTAAACTTCACTTGGTGAG